CGGGGGCAGCCGAGTGGGTTCAGGTAGCACCCATGGGTGGGAGAGAAGCCGGGCTGGCTCCTGCTGACCCCCCTCTCGCTGTGTGCCCCTTTAGGTGGCATTACTGGATGACGCTGCCCGCCTCAAGGAGGAAGGTGGGTAGCAGGCGTAGGAGGGGGGAACAGGCTCACTCGTGCAATGAGCGCATCGGTCCTCTGCCCACCCTACCCATAACCCTTGTTGCCCCACTCCTCAGCTCCTTCCCAGCAGCTCCTGATGTCCCCAGGCTGGAGAGCCGCAGTGCTGTGTGCTGTCCTTGTGGAGTGGGGAACAGGGGGGTCGCTGGAGAGCACCCTCTCCTGCAGCATCCCCCCGCTCCCCCCCCAGGCAGGAGGGTGCTGAGACCTGGCAGCTCAGCTCACCGGCCAGGGCTGGGGCGGGTTTACCCACAGGGTTCCCAGAGGCCCTGTGCCCCAGGGAGGATGGGGAGGAGGAGGAAGAAGAGGAGGAAGAGGCCAGGCAGAGGAGCCCGAGACCTGTCACCTTCACGCTGGGCAATGAGATGCTGGGGCTGGGCCCAAGCCCGGAGAGTGAGTTTCAGAGCCCCGACGCAGAGGTCTACATGCACTTCCTGAGGAGCCACTGCTGCTACGATGCCGTCCCCACCAGCTGCAAGCTCGTTGTCTTCGACATCTCCCTGGAGGTGACAAAGCAGGGGATCGGTGGGGACAGGCGGGGGGGGGACAGGCTTGGGGACCTCCTGACCCTTTCCCCACTCTGCCGGCAGATCAAGAAAGCCTTCGTGGCACTGGTGGCCAATGGGGTGCGTGCCGCCCCGCTCTGGGACAGCAAGACGCAGAGTTTTGTGGGTGAGTGTTGGCAGCGCCGCCTGGCCCCTTACCCTGCCTGGCAGCGAGGAGTGCGGGCAGCGCTGCCAGACCCACATGTCTCTGCAGGGATGCTCACCATCACCGACTTCATCAACATCCTCCACCGGTACTACCGCTCGCCCCTGGTGAGTGTGGCGGCGAGGGCACGGAGAGTCAGGGTGGGGGGCATGGGGCAAGGATGGGCTGTCCCCACCTCTCCTGGTCCTCTTTTCATCACTAGAACGTGACTGGGTGATGCTTTGGGCCAGCCCAGCATCCGCTTGGTGCTCCCGGAACCCAAGATGTGATTCCCCATGCTCAGGGTGATGGGGTGGGATGCCCGGGGAAGGGGGCAGTGCCCCAGAGCCCCCTCACTCCCCGATGGGGCCACTGTGACCAGAGCATCTCCCTGCCCTCAGGTTCAGATCTACGAGGTGGAGGAGCACAAGATTGAAACTTGGAGAGGTAAAAAGTTGGGGGCGATGGGGGTGGCTGGGCTGGGGATGTCACGCAGGGTGCGGAGTTGGGCTCCCAGGGGTGTGGGGCTGTGTGAGGGGGCTGGGGGACCCCCTCTCCCATTTCTCTCCCTTGGCAGAGGTGTACCTGCAGGGCTCCTTCAAGCCGCTGGTCTACATCTCCCCGAGCAATAGGTGAGCGCCTGCCCGCTGGGGGAGAGCACACCCCGTGTGGGGTGTGCCCGGGATGCAGCCCTATCCCCCTACGGTGTCCCCGTCACCCGCAGCCTCTTCGACGCTGTCTACTCCCTGATCAAGCACAAGATCCACCGCCTGCCCGTCATCGAGCCCGTCTCGGGCAATGTCCTGCACATCCTGACGCACAAGCGCATCCTCAAGTTCCTCCACATCTTCGTGAGTGCCGGGGCTGTGTGTGCACACACACAGCGGTTACGTAGGGGCGCAAGCAAGGGTGTCAGGGGGCATGTAGGTGCCAGCCCAGCCCTGTCCTGCCCCACCGCAGGGCTCCACCATCCCCAAACCGCGCTTCCTGAAGAAAACGGTGCAGGAGCTGTGCTTTGGCACCTTCCGTGATGTGGCTGTCGTGCCCGAGACCGCCCCCATCTACGCCGCCCTGGAGATCTTCGTGGACCGCCGTGTCTCTGCCCTGCCTGTCATCAACGATGCCGGGGGGGAGGGAGTGCCGCCCACCTCTGCCTCTGCCAGTGGCTCCAGCCCCATCCTCAATGCAAAAAACCCCTCCTGGCCCTTGGGCTGCACCTTGGGGTGCAGGGGGAGCATGGCGGGGGGTCCCCAGGGCCCCCTGCCCAGCCCCTGCACTCTCTCTCCTTGCAGGACAAGTGGTCGGCCTCTATTCCCGGTTTGATGTCATTGTGAGTACCCGGTGTGTTTGCACACCTGGCACGAGTGTGGCCCCTTGCACACTGCTGGTGGGGTGCTCCCCCCTGCCTGTGTCCATGCAAACCCACCCCACGTGCGCCAATGCACGTGCCAGCGTAGATTTGTCCCGTGTGTCATCAGGGCTCTGTGTCCCCCTCAGTGCCAGCACAACGGGGTGTGAGGACACGTTGGGGCACTGACCAGGCCACCTCTCCCACAGCACCTGGCAGCCCAGAAGACCTACAACAACCTGGACATCAGCGTGCGGGAGGCGCTGCGGCAGCGCACCATCTGCCTGGAGGGGGTCCTCACCTGCTACCCCCACGAAACCATGGAGGACATCATTGACCGCATCGCCAAGGAGCAGGTGAGCAGCCGGGGTGCCCTGTGACAGCGCCAACCCCCCCTGCCCACTACCCGACCTGCCTGTGATGCTCTGCCTGCATCCACAGGTCCATCGCCTGGTTCTGGTGGACGAGAACCGGTACCCGCGGGGCATCGTCTCCCTCTCCGACATCCTCCAGGCCCTTGTGCTCACTCCCGCAGGTATCGATGCTCTTAACTCTTAGCCCGCGACGCTCCGTCTTTCTCCACTTGCACCCTCCATTTCTCTTCACTTCAGGTAGGCGCCGTCCCCTGTCACTGCGTGCCTGTCCCCTTCCTGCAACTGGGTCACCTGCACCTCGTCACCTCCCTGCTCGGGCCACCCACCTCCACCCCGGCCAAATTGGCCCCGGGTGATGGAGGAGGCTGGGACTGGGGTCCAGCAGTGTCGGGTGCCCAGGTGGGGACGGCAGGACCTGGATGCTGCTCGTCCCCGTGGACAAAAGGATCACAGGGGATCCCTTCTGGGGTCCTGATCCCTGGTGTCCTTGAGGAAGGATGCAGGCATCTGCCATGGAGACACCCCCAGGTCCCCATCCAGGCAACGTGTGGGATGCAGGTTTTGCAGGTCCCTGGGCTTTGGGCTGGATGAGGGTTTTAGACTCTGATACACCCCAAGACAAAAGCCCTGTTCTGACCTCACCTCAAAGCTCCCCCCTCCCCAAAACCTGAGCCCCTGCAGTGCTATTCCTGGGGGACACAGAGGGGACAGACCCCCACTCGTGCAGCCTGGACGTGCTGCTCACCACTAGCCATGTGCACAGCGTGGCTGACCTACAGGCCATGGCTGGCAGAGCCCACTGTCCCCTCTGCCCATGGTGGCCCCGAAACTGCTTGTTCCAGGGATGGGGCTCACCCCCCGGGCCGCGCTGGGACCGCACTGCCTGGCCGCCTGTGCCTGGCTCTGCTCTCCCACTGCCTGGTGAGTCCTCACTGGTGATGGGTGGGCACGGTGCTGGCACCCACCGTGGCACCCGTTTAGGGGTGAACTGGGGAGGAAAGAGCTGGCCCAGGTATCCAGCTGCTTCCCAAAGGTAATCATGCTTTTTTTGGTGGCGGACACTTAGGTCCCACACTTGTGCACACCCATTCCCCCAGCAATGCCCAGTTGCTCCATGCAGAGGGGGACTGGGGGGTGTGGTGTTAACAACACCAGATATGGGACTCCCGCTCCCCATTTCCCCACCATGGTGCCTTCACTCACCCCATCCCTGGTGCACATGGGGGCGGCTGTGCTGGGAGCTGCTGGGGGGGCCACCACACTGTCTCCCTCTGGGCAAGCACCCCGCCTCCTGCTCCAGGGCTTGCATCCAGGGATGGAGGCAAGACACTGCTGTCTCCTTGGGTGCCAGGGTGGGTCGGAGGGCCATGCCAGAGGGTGCCCAGCCCAGCCTGCCGTGGAGTTATGGCCTCGCGCTCTCTCTTGCCCCACAGGCATCGACCGATTCTCACTCTGAAGACACCAGGGAAGTGCCGTCATCTCATCCGACACGGGGGTCTCTGGCATGGCCCTGGGGCCGTGGAAGGAGGCTCGGGCCCAGGAGGCTCTCCATGGGGAGAG